GGTCAGCCCTGTATGGGATGCCAATCTATTGTAGGGAGAACAAACCCTATACATACAACACTGCTTAACACCGCCCTAACATCTTGTTAAAACTCAGATCCCTAAATAAGACATATCTAGATGCAGGTGCCGTCCATCTAAAACTGACCGAATGAGAGGAGTCTTTACAGATATGCAGCACAGGGAAGTCCCTGCTTAACACTGCCCTAACATCTTGTTCAAAACTCAGATCCTAAAACTAATTTTTAACACAACTGAAGATTCAAAGTGGAAGGAACGTACCTCATGTCATAGTCTGCAGATGGATGTGATAGCCACTAAAATGGTGCACATCTCTATGCACTGTAAGTGGCTGAGTGGGTAGCTATGACTTCACATCCCCAGCACTGGGGGTAAAATCACAGCCATGCTATTTGTGGAGTCTGCACATTCTCGTTGTGTTTGGCAGGTACTCTCATTTCATCCACAGTTCAGAGACAGGCAATGAAATGACCTGGTAAGCTCCCTGTGATCTTCTACCTGTACATACACAGGGCCAGAGCATCACCCGCTACTCCACCACGCCGTCCAGACTCCCTTTGTGGAATACTGGGGTATCTGCTTGCCCAGTTCTTTGACCCAGCTTGATTTGAAAAGCACGAAAATCTTTGTTTGGACATTGGACTCGTCACTGGAGCAGCTTAAGCCTACCGTACAAAAGGCTCTTTTCTCCTGCTTCAGAAAGCAGACTTGCTTGATAGGGGTGTGACGGGCAGTTCAGAGTTCGTCCGCAAAGCTAAAGTCGTGCTCTCCTTGAGGTAGTCTTTGAGACAATCCTTGCTCCCTTGAATGCAAAAGATCTTAAAGCAAGATCCTAGACTTAATAATGAAGTGGTGCCTCATAGCCATGCGGTGCTTGTAATTGGATCTGTAAAAGCTTACATCCTGTCTATTACAGGAAGCAAAGGTGATGATATTTGAGCAGTAATATGGGGAGAATGAAGCCAAGAGACTGGATGCAACCTGTGCTTCCTGAGCCTCTCTGGGATGCTGCGTGGAACAAAAGGTTATGGTGAATAAATGGACATTTTGTTAGCAGTGCTGTACCTGTGAGGCACAATACTATAAGAGAATCATGATTTCAGAACTGATCACTGGACAAAAACGGAACCTTCTACACAGTGTGAGCTTGACTGACTGTCATCACGAAGGGACTGCATAATTTCTGCTGAAACATGTGCAAACACTAACAAAAGTAAACAATAATTCCATCTCTTCTGAAGTAATGAGGCAACCGTAAGAACAAAAGACATTTTTAGCAGTTTTCCCTCCACACATATTTTATGCCATGTGGATACTATTAGGTGGAAGTTAGAGACCTGGCTAGATGACAAGGAGGAACTGAAACAGTGCAGATGGTCGCAGTTTATTCTGTACACCACTGACACTAACACAGCATTCTCTGTGTTGATATCTCGATATATTTAGCAGATGCTTTTACCATAAGCAAAAAGCACAAGTGTGGTAATGAGGATATATAACATTTACCGCACATATAGAAGGGAAGGAAGTTTACAGGGAGGGGTTTCATTGGTAGCCTTATAACGTTTGAAACCGAAGGTTTGAATCTGATGCGAGACATAGGCAGGGAAGTAAAACCAAGATGGACAATGTGTAAATGTTTCTGGAGGTCAAAATAAACAACTGCAGTGTCATTCTGGATAATTAGTTCAGAACGGAATGAGCTGTAGCTGTCTGGTTAAGCACTAGATATTGTACTGTAAGAAATCTTCAGGACCAAGCCCCAGATGCCATGCGCTACTTGCAAACATGCACCAGCAGGATGGGAAGCTTTGTTCTCCTATCACCTGACTATCCCTTTGCATATTTATACCAGGCTTTGGTAAATACTATTTTCTTATGGGTTCAGAGATGTGATGTGGGTATTGATTATTTCTGTGTAACTGCACAGGGAGTTCCAGCAGCCTAACTGTTTTATTAAACATGTTAATATAAAGATAATCAACTCCAACTTGATTAGTGTATTACACCTAGTTATCACTGATTATTTTTGCATTTGCGTCATTCGTTATTTTCATCTGGTCATGGCTTATCCATTACTTGTCCATGTATACACAGTCATGTAGAGATTGACTGGTGGAGTGACAGAAGGACAATCACCAGTATCCAGAGAGCAATCTCTCAGTGGTAGCACACTGTCAGCGATGCAAACCGTATGCGGGGTGAGCATAACGTCTGTGTGGCCGCGAATGTGTGTGTGCATGCTCGAGTATTTGTCACCTTGTCTGCTGACTGGACAGTTCTGCAGTTTGATCCTGTGGCTGTATCCTCTCAGGATACAGGATTGCAGTGTAAACCAGCCTTCCTGTCAATCACCTGCCCTCCTACCAGCCCCAGCTCTCTTTAGCTCTGCATTGATCGCATTGTTACGGATGGTGAGGAATCAAATAACGCACAGCGCCTCATCAATACAGTCTCCCACGCTCCCTTCCCCTGCAGAGCGTTACGTACCTGCAGAATTCAGTTGCAAAAGATACCTGCACTGATCCCGAGAGAGATCAGCCTTCAAATTGTTATGTACAAGGCATACAGATGGTGGAAACACTGCAATGAAATTCTTAGCTGAAATTTTGCCCTCTTCACAGTGCAAATATAAAACATACAAGTAAATAAAAGCAGATATTGCAACAAGAGAGAGAAATGAATAAAAAGGATGATAAAAGAACTGAGTGGTGTATGTACTTTAGAACACAAATTTTGCATGTTTCTGTGCACAAGACATATCTAGATGCATGGTCATCGAAAACTGACCAAATGAGAGGAGTCTTTACAGATATGCAGCACAGGGAAGTCACTGCTTAACACTGCCCTAACATCTTGTTCAAAACTCAGATCCCTAAAACTAATTTTTAACACAACTGAAGATTCAGAGTAGAAGAAACGTACCTCATGTCATAGTCTGCAGATGGATGTGATGGTGCACATCTCTATGCACTGTAAGTGGCTGAGTGGGTAGCTACGACTTCACATCCCCAGCACTGGGGGTAAAATCACACCCATGCTATTTGTGGAGTCTGCACATTCTCGTTGTGTTTGGCAGGTACTCTCATTTCATCCACAGTTCAGAGACAGGCAATTAAATGAGCTGGTAAGCTCCCTGTGATCTTGTACTGGACAAGCATTTGGAAGATGGACTGATATTCAAGTGCTTTACAACTGTTCATCAAAATGATGGTAAACTTTGTTGTCATCCTACTGCTTTTGGTGCCCTTGGTTGATTTTAATTTGTGAGTGGATAGTAAACTAAATAAAACAGTGCATATTACAGATACTCTGAATGAAAAGGTCGAATTTCAAAAAGACCAAAGCTGTCGAGAGGAATGTCTTCTCACTTGTTTTACGAAAATTACTTTGATATATCTGTATGGCAGTACTAACCATTTCCAAAACCAAAACTACTTGCGCTATTTGGAGATGTGCGCGAAAATACACAGAACATTCAGGTGCCAAGGGACTCGGCAAGACTACAGAGTGACAGAAGATCTTTCCGCACCAAAAGGTATTAAACAAGAAAATGCAACAAAGCGCAGAGAGAAGCCCGCATGCACTGTGCTGAAAGGTTGCACATGAAAGCCTACAAGAGACTCACGGAGAGAAGCACCTTGTCAAATGCATTGAAAGTGTGACAACGAAGGAGAACCACCCCCCCTAAAAAAAAAAAAAAACGCATAACAAGAACCAACTCACCTGTCCCTTAACCCAAGGGAACAGAACCGTACGGCACTTTGCAAAGCAAATGATTTTCCTGCAAATTTCTCTGCGCCATCTAACAACTCGGTAAATGTCATGGATAGAAGCAAAAACGGACCTGATAGCAGCAGACATAGGAAACTTGTGACTGAATATTTAGCGTTACGATTAATGCAATTTATTTTAAGTAATGCAGGTTTCTCCCAGGTACGGAGGATTTGAGGGTTTTGATTGGTACTCGAGGGACAACTTCGTCCAATTAGGAAAACTCGTAGGATCACGTGTACCAAACAATCTTACCAGTTGGAAGAAACGAAATATAGAATGAATGAAATGAATATAGACTTTCTGCGAGAATATAACCACGGTGATTAAATAAGCAGATGTAACACTTAATTTCTAAGTGTGGCCCAATTACATCAAGTGTTTAGGTATTCGCAGTTTCGGGGTCTTATTACGCTGTGCTGTTTTAAGGCAACTATTTCAGATTTCAGCTCCGTAGCTTAAAATAGGTATATAGCTGTGATGTTTTTAGTGTTGTTCTGGAGGTGCATCACCTAATTATTTCATCTAGTTTTTAAAACAGCACTTTAAGCAGACGTTTGATATTCTTTTCTAGGAATTTTATTGAGTTAAACCTTGGGGTTCCAATAAAAATTGTGTGCGCATTTATAAAATGTTGTAGTCAAGTACCCAGCAGTCGTAAAAGTAGTGAAAGGATCAGCTATAGCTAGTTTAAGCAAAGTTGCATTTGGCGTTGCGCTGGGGTCGTTTTAGCAGGGCGACGTAGGAAATTTGATCAGGCTAAAAGGAGATGTAAACGCTCACTCTCACATTGCAAAGAGAAATTAGGCTTTATATATATATAGGTTGTTTTTAATTAAATAATTGTCTCGAACGAGTGGTGGATTGGATGTCATTCTGTCATAACAGATTGATTATGTAGTTTGGTTCAGCAGCCGGAACAATGCGAATTGTCCATAAGTTTCGAGGTCCCGTCCTGTCCACCTCCCCCCAGTGCCATGCAGTCCGGCGCTGGCTGATTGTCACTAACCGATGTGCACGCGTGCGCGCTCACGGCTCCGTCAAGCTCTCCTGCCAGATGGTGCCCCAAAAACCACCGAGCGGCACGCGCTGTAACCATAAAGAAAGTGGCGCCGCAAAACAGCCGAAACCCCGCTCCGGCGCCAGGCAGCGAGACTCGGATCGATCGCAGTAGCTGCAACTCAGTAAGTAGAAGCTAAAGTGGCATTTCTGCAAGTTGTGCTTTTTCGGAAAATAGCGGGGCGAATTCGTTAGTACGCCACGGCGATCTGTTAAAGGTGTCTGTAGAGCCGAGTGATAGAGAAAGAAATGCTGATAATCAGGTGAAGTAGCAATGGTGGATTAAATGAGAAAGGACCGTCAACAGTGCGCTTCGCTTTCGTTGATATTTTTCTACGTAGACATGAATGCCGAAGAACAGGAGAAAGTAAGTACACCGGCTTTTCCGGATCTTGTATTGTTTTAGTTACGAAACGGAAACATCGGGATGGCTGCCCTAAACACGTTATGTGTTCCAGGTTAATTGCTTTAAATTGGACGATCACGTTGTACGAGAAGATAATCAAGGAAGTTTGTTTTCGGATCGGTACTGCTGTACTTCCTATGTAGCTGTTCTGAGGCACTTCGGAAAGATCATCATTCAAAGGTACATGGGATTATCCTGATCCGCCCATCACCCGGTGTCAGCAGGTGCTCCTTAATTTCCACTGGCAGTGAACATATTTCACAAAATATGTTGACTTATTTCTGCCCAGTGTTGAGTGGGTCGTCGCCGAGTTATTGTGGCATTTTCGCTGATGTTTGAACCCGAAAAAGCGAAGGTTAAATATAGGCGAATCAACCCGTGAACCAGTCAGTTTATTATTATTTTTTTTTTTTAAATTTACAGTGAAAACGAATATGGTCATATAACTAGTAAATTATCTGTTAGCGATTTCCCGACAACATAAACTAAGCATGTTTTACTGGTAACTGCTGCCCTTTTCTTTCGATTCGTAATGTCGGTTAACATCTTAGTAACACTTTCTTTAGATTTTTTTTCCAAGCCGTGCGTGACTAAGTATTCATAGTCTTCACGTTAAAAAAAGGTCACGTCTCAAAAATTAGATGTCAGAAGCCAGTCCAGCATGCATGTTTGACTGCGGTCTATAATAATCGACGTGCGGATGAAGGCGGGGTGTCCGCTGCCAGACGCAGTCCGGAGCTCCTGCTCAGGTGTTCGCTGGTGGCCGAATAAGTCGGTTTAAACTTCGATTCTCTCGGCATGTGTTTTTTTTCCTGTGACCGCATTGTCAATTTTCTATGTAAAACTTATTGATATTCGGTGGTAATGGATGGTGACACTGAAGCACACACACACACACACACACACACACACACACACACACATATATATATATATATATATATATATATATATATATAT